GTGCTCCTGCCACCTCCAGTAAGCTCTGATTCTAGATTCACTCCCTGCTCCAACACTCACTGTGTGTGGAACCTTGGGCATGCAGCCAGGCCTCCCTGAGACGGTTTCTCAACTTGAAAGTATGATGGGAATTACACCTACCTCACTGGGCCTCCTGAGGACTCAGTTATACGTAGCTGTCACCATTGTTCTCATCATCATCTCTCTCGGGAAGAGCCAGGCACAAGCACTCTCAAATTTCTTTTCTCCTTTGAAGCTCATCATTACCCTGTGAGGTTCACCATCCCTACCTTTTTTAGATAAGAAAACAGAGGCCCAAAGAGGGCAGTGACTTGCCCGGGGCCCTACAGAAGATGTCGGCCTCTCCCCGCACCTGGAGGCCCTGTCCTAGCTGACTTTACCCCACAGCCCAGCACTATCCCTGACTAGGATCCGATCTTGGTTCACTATGTTTTGTTAGGTCCTTAGGCAGGCTCAGCTTTGGTGGGAAAGAGGGTGTTTTGGGAGGCCTGGGCGAGTGGCCCCTCTAACCAATCTGCCAGGCCCTCAACTCTCAGTCTCACTGAGCCACTCCATTAATTGGAAGCAGACCCAAAATTGCTTCACAGACTGAAGGTGATAATTGTCTGCAACCAGCTGGTGCAGCTGCATCTCCTGGAGGAGTTTGATCTCCTGCAGCTAAAGGGAAAGACAGGATGCTGAGACAGGGCCTGCAGCATACACATAACTATAATTCAGAATGTAATATATACACACACATGTAAATATAATCAGAAAGTGATATAATCTTATATGCAAGGTTAAATACAAATGTCTCTCAGGCAGGGCCAGGACCCCAGCACAGGGAGGAATCTGCCTGAAAAAGGTGCAGGCAGAAACCTGTCACTCCTGCCTCATTCAGCCCAGTGTCTGATTACATTTTCTGTCACTCAGGGTTTAAATGGGTGGGGCCTGGAGCCCTAGCCAATCAGTGGTGCTAGCGTGAAATTGTCCAATCAGGTGCGCAGCTACAGAAGAAGAGGCGGCCTCTTCAATATGGCGGGGCCTTTGTCTCCTAGCTCCCGGGCTCTGAGCCCAGTTCCCGTCTCCACTGTTCCATCTCCTCCGCTCCTGGAGCTCCTCGGTGACTCTACCATAGCGTCTGTTATCCCGTGATCTGCAGGTACTGGGAGGTCCATAGGGAGGACGGCGGAACATCCGGAGGCTGGGAAATGGTGAGTGCGTGGAGTGGGTGTCCCGAGAATGGGGAAGAGGGTGTTTGAATCCGGCCGGAACCGGCTGCGGTTGTATCTCGGCCTTTTCGCGGTCGGCTCTGGAGTCTTCAGCCCCGAGTCCCCGCGGGCACAGCTCAGTCCTCATTTCCCTCCATCGCAGATGAGGGGCTGAGCCAGCAGCCAAAACCGTACGTTTTGTTTTGTCCATAAGCTCGAATTTCTCCCCAGTTCAGGGCCCTTTCTGGGCAGCTCTGTGCCGCAACCTCGAGTCTCCCTCCTCCAGATTGTGCGGGGATGATGGGAGCGTCATAAGACGAGAATCCTCATTTAGGGTCTGGAGTTCCTCCGTGGAAGAAGCAGTGGGCCTTGGCGTCCCTAGTCCCTTCTTTCTCCTTTTAAAAATAAAATTGTGGCCCTTTTTTTTTTTTTTCCGAGACAGTGTCTCACTGTGTTGCCCAGGCTAAAGTGCATTTCTTCTCACTGCAGCTTCCACGTCTCAGGCTCAGCTGATCCATTCACCGCAGTCTTCCATGTAGCTAGGACTAGACAGGTGCGCCACCATGCCTGTTTTTTGTTTTGTTGTTGTTGTTGTTGTTGTTGTTTGTTGTTTTTTTTTGTAGAGACGGGCTTTTGCCTTGTTGCTCAGGCTGGTCTCGAACTCCTGAGCTCAGGTCTCAGGTAATCCGCCCGCCTCGGGCCTCCTAAAGCGCCAGGATTACATACATGAGCCACCGCCCTAGCCTAAATTTGAGGCAACTTTAGGATATAGTTTGGGTGTGTTTTCCAGCCCAAATCTCCTGTTTAAATGTAATCCCCCATGTTGGAGGTGGGGCCTGGTGGAAGGATTATGGGCGCGGATTTCTCATGAATAGTTTAGCACCATTCCTCTTGGTATTGTCCTCCCAATAGTGAGTGAGTTCCCTGAGGTTCATCATTTAAAAGTGTACAGCACCCCACCTTGTCTCCTTTTCAAGCTCTTGCTTCACCTTCCTCCGTGATTTTAAGCTTCCTGGGTGGGGCCTCCCCAGAAGCAGTCGCTGGTGTTATGCCTTCTATACAGCCTGTGGAACCATGAGCCAGTTAATCCTCTTGTAAGTTACCCAGTCTGAGGTATTTACAGTAATGCCGGAAGCGATTAATACAAACAGTTTATTTGCACAAACAGCAATTTATGAATCAGAGAACAGCCAGCTATGATTTGTTGTTTGGGTGCTCAAAGGAGGGTCTTGGAACAAAAAGCGTCTTTTTTTTTTTTTTTTTTTAAGAGGTATGAGGAAGCAAACCAGATACAATATTTGATTGGTTCCAGTTACGTATTGCATTTGAAGCCCTCCGGTGGAAATGTCCTGGTTATGTAATTAGCTTTTTATTGGCAGCTTGTGGTTGGTTAAGCCTAAGGTTTTTTTGTTGTTGTTTTTTTGTTTTTCCTCAAAGTTAGTAATTTACAAAAAATTCCTTTGACGTAGTTAGGTTTCCTTAGGCAGAATCCCAGGGCGCCATGGCCACTTCAGCCTAATTGCTAGCTGTGTAATTATTTTAATGCTCCACAGGGTCGTTGGTTTTCTCTGCATTTTTCAAATGTTTGGCAAGCAGGGTCTCAAATCTAAAACTGTTCTCCCAGCCTAACTGTTCTAGGGACTGTAGAAAATTCTACATTTCCAATTTCTTTCCCACATTCCCAATTTCTTTCCCACATTCCCAAATGCCAACTATCCCTCTCCAAATCCCATTATGAACTATCAGTTCTTTATTTAATTTTAAAACGGATGTGGCATTTTAGTTGTTTATTTTTGTTTAACAGAGCCGTGGGTGGCTCTTTGTAATATATTCGTCTGTTTGTGAATATTTCACAGGACAGAAAAGCAAAGAGTAATCACCTGACACTCTGCGCATTTCCTCTCATCTTCTCTAGGCACCCGCGCCTTCCCAGAATGTCTTTGGAAAACTTTGCAGGGTCCTGTGTCCTCAACCACTCTCCTGTATTTTCCTGGTTCCAAGTATTACAACTTTTGGGGGATGATCCAAGACACCCAAAAGGACCGTGTCTCTTGGAGTGTCTAGCAAACACTAGCCCCTGGATCATCTCCTTTCACAGAAGAGCCGGAGGTATTGGGTGGAGCCTCTCGGGGAGCAGCTGGATGCCCTAGTGCTGAGGACAGTTTCCTGATTTATCCTTCCTCTAAAAAGCTAACCGCTTTAACATTAAGATTTTTTTCCCTCTCAACCCTAGTTTTCTTTTCTTGCAGACACGCTGGTGGTCAACCAATCAGGTGCTGGTATTGAGGGGAAAAGGCACAGACGCATCTTGTTCTCTGGTTTCTCTCAGGCTTGTGAAGGAGAATAACTGTCCCAAAGTACAGGAAAGATCCACCCTAGTGAGGGAGTGTATAGATTTGCAAAGCAAAATACATATCCGCCACACAGGGGGCAAGTGCAGTGTCTTTTGGGAGAGTGATGATGAAATACTTTAGTGAGCAGAATAGGGGTGGGGAGAATCTCTCAAGTGATTGACACGTGAGTCTAATACATCTGTGTTCCAGTCAGCACTACTTCTCACCGTGTTTGTCACCTTGAATATATATGTTCACTCACTTCAACTTCAGTTTTTCATTAACTATATAATGGATTTTATCATTAGAGCTTGAAAGATTTTTAAAAAATGTTTTCCAAGAGAAAAGAGGTGGATTTAGAAAAAAATAGCTTATATTCCATCAGTTAAAAATTCTCATTTACCTTTTATATTTCGCACAGTGAGCGTAGTAAGATTCTGTGGTCTGTTCTATTTAGTATGATTTCAAACAGAATCCCAGGGCTTAGCTTTGGGGATGCTACCTGGGAAAAGACATAGAGGAAATGTCTCTCTCATGATGCCTGCAGAAAAATAAATACATATCTACAAGAAAATATAGTAGATTAACACATAAATTACAAAACATTCATGAAAACATCAGTTTCTGTCTTGTGCACAGTGGAGAATTTGTGACAGGGGCCAACTCATTTTTTAAAAAAATTTCTGCTTCATAGGAAGTATTTATGTGTACACAATAAAAAGGTACTTCCTACCATACATACATATCTTTGCTCAGGTAATATATATAATCTAAAGCAATATGATTGTCTAGTATAATCGTAGCCAGTGAATCTGTAGGTTTTTTTTTTTTGTTTGTTTTTTTTTTGAGCTGCAATGGATGTAACAGTTTTATCAGTAATTTTTTCTAAGCTTATAAAAATATTTTTAATCATGTGTTCGTGGGAGGTGACAACCTCACCAAGGCAAAAACATTTTTTCCAATAAAATGAATGAAGCTGTTTTTTGAAAGCCAGGCAGATAATTAGCAGATTTTTTTCAAATAGAATCTTAATCTAAAACAGATTGGTGGCCATGCCTGTGGAAAAGTTAGAGAGAATTTGTCCAGTGCTGAGTTTTTTCAGAGCTATGTATAGAGAGAGCAGCGACCAGATATTTTAAAAGACATTACCCTTCAATTTAGTGGCACAGGTACTGGCCAAGAAAATCTGAAAGGGTTCCTTCCAACAAATTTGGAGTAAATCTTTTTCTTCATAAAAAGAGAAAATCAAATTTTATTTTTATATTATTAATATTAAAGCTAATTTTAGGAAAGCATTATAAACAGATGTATTCAATGTCAATCAGCTTTGACCATACAAGATAAGATTTCTATAAACCTTTTATAACCCCTTAAAATTTTATTTTTCTCTTTCTTTCTCCAGTTTTCTATATCCATTAAGTTTACCTCATTTTCTTTATCTTTTTTCTTTCAATTTTACATATTTTTTAAATAACCTCTAAACTCAGCAAAATTGCCTTTTCTTTAAGAAAAACCACATCCTCACGTCTGTTTCTAAAATATTTTTTTCATCAAGAAACACATTTTATTTTCTTTGTACTCTGTAAAGTTGTTTCTCTCCTTAACAATAGTTTTAGTTATTATATCTTAGGCAGAATTTTAATTTTTAATAATCTTAATTTATAGTGAAAGCCTGAGAAGTAAGCAATTTTAACTATTAGTCATGTACTAAAATTTTATAAATATATATTTTATACTTTTTAGAAACATAGGATTTTAAATGGAAACATTTTTATTGTGGAATAAGACATACTAACAGATTTTAAACTTATATTTAAAAATTAGTTTAATTTTTAACTAATGAGCTGAGATCCAG